GTGAAAGAGGGACAGAGAATGAAGGAGAATGAGAGAGAGACAGTGAAAAGCAGGGATTGAAAGATGAAGAGAGTGAGAGAGAGAGAAAAACCGTGAAATGGGTTGAGACAGTGAGAGAGAGAGATATCAGAGGTAGAGGCAGTGAAAGACAGAGATAGGGACAGAGAGATTGAGAGAGCGGCAGACAGTGAGATAGATAGAGACAGTGAGAGAGAGAGGAACAGAGACAATGAGATACACAGTTAGAGAGACAGAGGCAGAGAGACAGAGACAGACAGACAGGGACAGTGAGAGGCAGAGAGTGAGAGACAGCGATAGAGAGATTGTGAGAGAGAGAGAGGAGACAAACAACAAGATACAGAGAGATACAGAACACGGTCAAAGCTCCTCTGAGGTTTTTGTTGTTCCTGAGCTCCACCTGCTACTGAGGTTAGTTTATCTCCGTCTCGTGAGGGTTAAACTGTGCTCAGACATGTAGCTGTTGTTTTGATCATGCTTCGATATTTTTGCTTTTCAGAGAAGTGCTGGAGAAACTAACAGGACAGGAGATCATACAGAGTTCCTGTTAATGTACAGTTTGTGAATCACAACAGACACTTTGTGCAACCAGTAGTCTATGCCCACACCCCTGAGCATCTGAGTACCTTTCTCTTTCAATTTCCTTTCCTCCAGACCCATTGACAGAGCACAGACCTCTCCCCTGCGTACACTGGTCCACTGGCTATTTTTCTCGACAGTGAGTGTCAATGGGCTATTGGACCATGAGGGGCATCATGTCTGAGCTCAGCAATAACAAGTAACTGTCTCCAATGTTCCTCAAACCTGTGACCTTCCTCACTGAACGACCAGCAACTGCTCAGCTCAATTTTCCAGGAAACAAGAGGAGGAGGAGAGGTCTATACTGAAGCAAGGCAATGGCCTAGTGGTGGTATCACTAGATCATTAAAGACCCAGATAATGTCCTGGAGACCTAGTTTCAAATCCCACCATGGCAGATGGTGGAATTTGCTATTGATAACTATAAAGACCCCTTGGGTTCACTAATGCCCAATAGGGAGGGAAATCTACCATCCTTACCTGGTCTGGCCTACATGTGACTCTAGACTCTCAGTGATGTGGTTGACTCTTAACTAACCTCTGGGCAATTCAGGATGGTCAACATATGATGGTCTACCCGTTTTGGCTCACATCTCGCAAATTAAAACAGAATGTATTAATAGGGTAGGGGAGTTCAAAGTTAGAGGGCATAGTTTTGAGGTGAGAAGGGAAAGTTTTAAAAGGGACCTGAAGGGGACAGCTTTTTTTACATCGGATTCTATGAGACAGGCATTTGAGGATGAGAGAGCTTCATTCAGAAAGGGAAAGGCAAAGAACAGCCAGAGACAAGCGCAGAATGTGGTCAGTGGTGGTTCTTAGAGTCAGCACCAGCAAGGACCCTGATTGGCCTACCGTACTCTGAACTCAGGTGCAGAGCGTGTGAACAGCTTCCCGAACTCTGGCGATGCCCAAATCCAGCATCATTCCCATTTTACTTACCACAGTGAAAACAGACACCATGATACTGGTGGTGTCTGGCCCAGGAGACAGCTCCTTGTGCTCCTGTATGTCCTATTGTTTGCTACTGTGCTCGTACAGGGTCTGTTTCCCCACTGTGACCACAGCTGCCCTGAGAAAGCCCTGGGGTGGAGATTTACAAAGCACACTGTGAGTTAATAAGTTACTGAGCTGTGCAGGCAAGCCTGCTGCTCAGGACCAGAGAGACAGAGACAAGAGAGATCTGTGCGTGGCAGGACGGAAAAGGGGAGAGAGGTTACAGTGGGGGGAGAAGAATAGAGAAGGAGGAGGTCAAACTGAGGGCATTGTTGGAGGAGAAATGAAGGTGAGAGAATTAGAAGGGGAAGGATGGTGTGGAGAATGATAGGGAGGGCTAGAGGGGCGGGAAAATGAAGGAGGGAGAGGAGGAGGGAGTGGACAGTGGGGTATGGTTATTCAAGAGAACAGGAAGGAAGAGGGGAGGAGATGTAAAGGACAGGTAAGGGTTCGTGGAGGGGAGATGGAAGAGGAGGGGGAAGAGAGAATGGAGATTGGGGGGAAGGCTGGTCAAGTGGAGATGGAGGAACAAGGAGGGGGAGGAGGGAATGTAGGATGTAGAGTAGGGCTGGGGGAAGGTGAGCAGAGGAGGGAGTGGAGAGTGGGGGGAGGGCTGGAGGAGGCAAGATGGAGGAGGGAGTGGAGATTGGGGGAAGGGCTGGTGGAGGGGAGATGGAGGAGGGAGTGGAGATTGGGGGAAGCGCTGGTGGAGGGGAGATGGAGGAGTGAGTGGAGATTGGAAGGGAGATTTGGAGGAAAGAGGAAGTGGGGTGGAGAATGGAGGTGAGGGCTGGAGGAAGGGGGATTAAAGGGAGATAGGGTCGGGAAGGATAAGAGGGGAGGAAGAATATGGAGGAGGACTGGAGGCGGGGATAAAGGAGAGGGAGTGGAGATAATGAGGGGGAAAGATTAAATGAGGTGAAAATGGGATGAGAAACTAAATTCAGGAGAAGCCTTGTGAAACGACGGGAGAAAGGGTGAGGGACGAGGATAAGAGAGGGTAGATATGTTGCATTGTGGGGAAGGGGGAGAACCATAGAAGAGCAAAGAGAAGCTGTGAAAACAGGATGGAAAAAGAAGTTGAGAGGAAAGAGGAGTAGAACGTGCCGCCATTTTGAAGAAAGGACATGGAAGATGGAGTCCACTGGAGCCTACAACCCAGAAACTGACCATTTGAGCCGACGAGTTTGTGCTGCTGTTAATCTTCCCACCCTGACTGCATCTACTGTACTCCTTCCCCCTTCGTGTGTGTATCTACCCCCTCCTAAAACGTGGGATGGGGGCATCACTGTTTGGCCCATCCCTAATTACCCTGGAACTAACTTGCTGGGCTATTTCAGAGGGCTGTTGATAGTCAACCTTGCTGTGGGCCTGGAGTCACGTGTAGGTCAGACTGGGTGAGGACAGCAGATTCCTTCCCTAAAGGATGTTAGTGAAGCAGGTGGAGTTTTAGCTGTTGATAATGGCTGCTTGGGCTCTTGTGGTAGTGTCCCCACCTCTGAGCTAGGAGGCCTGGGATCAAGTCCCACCTGTTCCACAGATTTGTTACAACATCCCTGAACGGGTCGTTTGGAAAATATTTAAACAGTTGTTTTCCATTCGAGCTGTTCCTTAATTCAATCACTACTGACCATGGGTAGGCCTTGAACCCGTGTTACAGAGGATTAGAGATAGTAAGAACGGCCGATGCTGGAGTCAGAGATAACACAACGTGGAGCTGGAGGAACACAGCAGGCCAGGCAGCATCAGGGGAACAGGGAAGCTGATGTTTCGGGTCGGGACCCTTCTTACTAACTCTGAGTGAGTTATAACCCCACTGCGAAGCCTGAAGAAGGGTCCCGACCCGAAACGTCAGCTTTCCTGCTCCTCTGATGCTACCTGGCCTGCTGTGTTCATCCAGCTCCACGCTGCGTTATTACAGAGGATTAACCTGGTTACCAGCTCCAGTGGCATTACCACTACTCCAAAGCCTCCCGTACAGTAGTCCAGGGTCAAAAGTCTGCTGAAACTTGTGAACTGTTAATACATCTTGTGGAGTACTGTGGGCTATTCCGGTCACCCAGCTCTAGGAAGGACGCTATTTAACTGGAAAGGCCACAAAAAAGACTGAGAAGGATGTTACCGTGACTGAAAGGTTGAGGTGTAGGGACGGTCTGGATAGGCTGGGACTTTTTCCCTGTAACGGGGAGGCGATGACCTAGTGGTATTATTGCTGGACTGTTAATCTGGAGACCCAGGTTCAAATCCCTCCACAGCAGATGGTGAAATTTGAATTCAATAAATATCTGGAATTAAGAATCTAATGATGACCATGAATCCATTGCTGATTGTCGGGAAAAACCCATCTGGTTCACTAATGCCCTTTAGGGAAGAAACTGCCATCCTTACCTGGTCTGGCCTACATGTGACTCCAGACCCACAGCAATGTGGCTGACTCTTAACTGCCCCCTGGGTAATTAGGGATGGGCAATAAATGCTACCTAGCCAGCAATGCCCTCATCCCATGAATGAATAAAAGAAACTTAAGGAGGTCGAAGGGTGATCTTGTAGAAGTTTATAACACCATGAAGGGAATTGAAAGTCTGGACAGGCTAGGACATTTTTCACTGGAGTGTCAGAGGTTGAGAGCCGACCTTAAGGAAGTTTATAAAATCATGACGGATATAGATAGGGTTAATGGTAGTTGTCTTTTCCCTAGGATGAGGGATTTCAAGACAAGGGGACACATTTTTAAGTTGAGAGGAGGGAGATGTAAAAAATACATGAGGCAAAATTTTTACGTAGAAGGTGGTTTGTGTGTGGAATGAACTTCCTGAAGAAGTAGTGGATGTGGGTACAGTTACAATGTTTAAAAGACATTTTGATAAGTACATGAATAGGAAAGCTTTGGAAGGATACAGGCCAGGAGCAGGCAGGTGGGACTAGTTTAGTTTGGGATTATGGTCGGCATGGACCGGTTGGACCGAAGGCTCTGTTTCTGTGCTGTATGACTCTAGATAAGGTGAACAGTCAAGGTCTTTTCCCCAGGGTGGGGGAGTCCAAAACTAGAGGCCACAGCTTTAGGGTGAGTGGGGAAAGATTTAAAAGGGAACTGAGGGTCAACTTTTTCCGCACAGAGGGTGGTGCATGTATGGAACAAGCTGCCAGAAGAAGTTATGGAAGTGAGTACAATTACAATATTTTTAAAAGACATTTGGACAGGTAATTGGAAAGGAAAGGTTTAGAGGGATATGGGCCAAATGCAGGCAGATGGGATTAGTTCAGTTTAGGAAACCTGGTCGGCATGGATGAGTTGGGCCGAAGGGCCCGTTTCCGTGTTGCTTGGCTCTGTACTGGTGCTAAGCAGATAAGGAGCCACTTGGTAGTAATATCTGTGCGAATGGGAGATGAGTCACTAAGGAGGTCGGCCAAACAGCAGAGATCAATTACTCAGTCCTGTTTAAGCTGCCTTTGTCAAAGAAACACAAGCTCAGCTGCACAGGGATGCAGCTTGTACCTCCATCCTGCCATCACTAATCACCCTCATTCTCCAGGAAGCCTCGCTGCTCAGGTACCCCTTTGTAGACGAGGAGCTGGTGGGTGGGGGCTGGTTGCTCATTGCAGCGTTTTGGGGACAAGGAGGCAGATGGCTGAGGAAGTGGTGAAGCGAGGCTGACAAATTGGAGATTGACTCGCCGCTGTGTGACTTTGCAAACAAGGTTATTGGTCCCTGGGCTGCAAATCCGTGTCAGGATCTTGTCAACATTTGCCAAAGTTAAGAAGCTTGACCCAGCAAACACTCTGCATGGGGAGGAGACGGAAAAAAAATCTTCACTTGCAAAGGAAGCGCACACACATACACATATATACACAGAGCTGGGAGCTGATCAGACGGTTCTGTTATAGAGAAGAATGCTACGAAGGAATTGGGAAAGTAAAAGGTAAGAAGCACTGCGTTTTTGTTTTGTTAAATATACGCTTTAACAATACAGGGGAAATAAGATAACTGAATTATTGCTTTTCTTTTTTTGTGTACTTTTGACCTGAGAGAGAAAATAATTTTCATTCCTGTTTGGTGTTAACAGTTATGGGAAACAAATTGGGACCCTCTTTATAAATAAAACTCTTGTTTATGTGTCTGTGTGTCTGTGTCTGTGTCTGTGTGTGTCTGTTTGTGAATGTGTGTGTGTGTCTGTGTGTGTCTGTGTGTGTGTGTGTGTGTGTGTGTGTCTGTGTGCGTGTGTGTGTGTGTGTCTGTGTGCGTGTGTGTGTGTGTGTGTGTCTGTGTGCGTGTGTGTGTGTGTGTCTGTTTGTGAATGTGTGTGTGAGTGAGTGTGTGTCTGTGTGTGTGTGTGAGTGTGTGTCTGTGTGTGTGTGTCTGTGTGTGAATGTGTGTGAATGTGTGTGAGTGAGTGTGTGTCTGTGTGTGTGTGTGTCTGTTTGTGAATGTGTGTATGTGTGTGTGAGTGTGTGTCTGTTTGTGAATGTGTGTGTGTGAGTCAGT